CTCTTCAGAGTCCTCTTATAGTCAGTGTGAATAAGCAGGCATGCAAACTGACTTATGTTAGCTGTCTTCTTTAAAGAGAGAATTGCTCCCTAGAAGTGTCATCATCTCTCCCATGACTGAGACCAGCCTGGGATAACTCCATTTGTTGTAGAGTGCTTCCATGCATGGTGTTCTGTGCTTCAACCAGAAGAGGGGTTCCTCTCACTATGAGTCACATTTTCCAGGCAGTGACATGAATGGTGTTTCATTTCAAGTTGATAGCAATTCTCTTAACACAACCAGTGAATTATAAATAACGCTTCATTTTCAAAAAAATGAAACTAGCTGTGACTCAAGAATTCAACTTGCAAGTTTTAATTCTGACTGATAAAAAAGTGAGTAACCATTAGGTATCTTTTGATTACTACAGTTCTAATATTGGCATTTCTAAATAAGAATAACTTGATTTAGGAAGGAACCATGTAAGATCTTTCTTGATATGTGCCAGATTTAAAAGAAATAGGAGATCTTACAATTTCTCTGTCCACTAATGACAATTTGAGAACTCAGTCTGGCAGCTGCTTTTACGTGCGAAGATTCTGTGTGCAGACTGAGGTTATGTTTGTCTAAAAGAATGAGTTCCTGAGCCTCCAAATGCTATCACAACTACTGATTAACTGGCAAGTCTTAAGTTAACCTGAAATCACAGACACAGGGACTGAGTCATATCTATACATATATTAGATAGATATAATATCTAATTCATAGTAATAGCTTTAAAATTAATTCAAAAGTAGATTACATAAGTGGCCCTTTATATTACAAATGCAGTAATAAGGACTTGTAAGTGAATACCTGTATATGTAACAAAAAAAATAATTTAATCGTAAAATAAATAATAATTGCAAAATTACACTTTTTAGAAGTTACTTACACTTTACTATTTTGCATCAAAACCTAACTCAAATCTATTTCATCAGACAAAGGAAAAGATATGGAATTTTTCAATAACAAGCAACATTTCATTTATTAAAATGTAGACAGCATGTGGCTTAGTGTCAGGAAAACCCCTTCAGATTTTGTCATGTATACAGAAAATACAGTGACAGAGAAATAAACTATTTGCAAAGATTATGAGGTTATAAATCTAACTGAATTAATTTGCTACTCCATGTTTTCATTGCTTCTTATTGGACTTGAGTTACACTCATTACATACATGGCTCTCCATCTTGAATCCAGCAGAAATCAATACCCCGCTAATTAAATGGAATTTCTTGCATGTTTTTCATGGGCTTTGTCCAACACGTTTCATGATTTGTTTTGATTAGCCCCAGGTTTCTCAGTTCAGTTTATGGTTTTGAAATGGGATCTACTAGTCTTTTGCTACAGATTTTATTTTATTACATTGAAAGCATAATCAATCATTATTTAATAAATTAAAGATTAGACTCCTGTCTTTCAGTATGATACACTTTAACAAATATCGCTACAGTAAGCTAAACATCTATATTCATACAGAATAAACTCCTTCTAAGTACAAGCAGCTGGACACAACAAGAAAAAACAAAGGTTACCGATGAAAATCAGTAGGTCACATCTGAGGCATTGGTATATCTCTATGTAAGTGTATCTCTCACTCACACCAGTTCTGTAACTGAAAGATTTTACTGAATAACAGGGTGGAATTAAATAGAATAAATTCTTTTTCAATAAGAAGTAACATTCTTGATACACTTTCAACTGTTCAAAAATTGAGAAGGCAAACTGTTACATACCCTGCTGACACTCCCAGGGCCTGATTGGACTGTACAGCACATCACTGCATGGAGAGGTCCTCAATAGTCCAGTGCCTTTTACTCTTTCCTGTGTCTGGGATTCTGCCAGAGCAAAGCAGGGGATAAAATAAACATGAGAACCTGAGAGGACAAAAACAAAGTAAAAATGCATACCTTACAAAAGCAACACTGGGGTAATTGCCACTAGCCTGGGAGTGGGTATATGAGAGGATACTAATGTCTATGAAAACAGAGGCTTAAAAATAAAGACTATTTCATTTTTTTTAGCAAAAGAAAACTGGTAATACAAGATCTGTGTCACATTTTAAAATGCTAAAGACCATAGATCTCATACTCAGATTTAGGCAGATATACAAAACGTGCCGTAGTTAAGATGTAATTGCAGGATACATATCATTCCTCTAGATTCAGTCAGCAGGATTACATTTATAATGGGAACTTCCCACTCTTACTTAATTTGCCCACTGGGTATATTTTTATCTTATTACAGAGGAGCATTCCAATGATAAACTGCACTGCCAAACTTTTAGCAGAGGCGAGGTAAAATGGTCTGAAATCCTCACTCAAGTTTATTGAGTAAAGGGTGCTTTCCTGAAGCGCTGGAGAAACCTGACACCCTGGTTTTAAAGGGGCATGTTTTTGATAAAATGATCTTTGTTCTTTGTGCAGTTGAATGATGTGTAAATGTTCTGTTCTTTGTACCTTTGCTTATACTCATACACCTATGGATCCTTTGAACGAATTTAACTCACCTCAGACAATTATTTTAATTTCAGGGTAAATACCACAGGCACTTATATTTTCAAGTGTAAATGTGATTTGTAGCATTTTCACATCTTTCAGTCTGCGGTAAATGCCATCTATTACTTGAGAAATTAGCAGATGTGTATCGGCAGAGTTGCAGCAGGTTAACGGTACACATCTGTGTGGCTGAATTCAAGCATTACAAGTGCTTTATATGCACAAAAGTCACACACATGCTGGTCCACTTCAGTTTACTTCCTAGGGGAATAAGTTCAGTACTCGCATTTAGGACCAGAGTACTAGAGTCAATTAAATGCGTCCTTTTAACTTCTGTAAATGCTTTTGAAATTCCCCCGTTATGTGAACTACATGAAGACAGCCATATTCATTACAACTCTTTTTTCAGACCAAAAAAAATAGCACATTGTGTTGTTTCATGTGGATTTTATGCTCTACCAAGTGCAGTAGCACAAGAGAGAAGAACTAACAAACTGAAAGAAAACTATATGGAAGGTTATATACCTATTCTAAGCTGTTCATATTAATGGAGTCCCGGAAATGTGTTTTTTGGAAGATACCCATGGCAGATATACGTGTAAGTGCTATTTGTCACTGTCTAAGGGATAAATAAGTATTTATCATTTTGTTATCTCTATTGAACTGAACTCGTGCCTTTAAAAATAAAAGGCCTCTTGCAAACTCACATCCCAGGCCTAATATTCAATCTTATATTAAATTGAACTACTTGACACAAAACATGTTGTAGGATCCAGAGTTGACTTACTCTGGAGTTGACTTACTTATCCTGGTTTCTTGCATGGCTATTCATTTAATTATCATCTATGCAATCCTAGTGCTGTTTCATGTCTATACCATCCTTTCAGAACTTACCCATCCTCTATACAGAAGTAATTTTCGTCCTAAAAAATAGAATAAAATATTGCTTGTGTTATGTAGACCTCTGTATGGCACAGACCAAAGTGAAAGGTCAACACTTCTGACAGCCTTTAAGAATCCACAGTGCCATAAAGTTTTGAAACTCAGTAGGAAATTTGAAACTACAGAGAAAAATGCTAAGGAAAAGGAAAACACATATTTTTTGTCAGAAAAAAAAGTATTTTATCATAACTTGAAACATTTAACACTGACCTGTAATCCATTATTTGGTTTAATTAAGCTAAATTTGGTATTAATACATTAAAAAATAATTCAATTAGAAGATCAGTAGTCACTCATATGGGATGGAGTTTCAAAACGCTTTGTGCATTTTTTATTAAGCTGTTTTTACATAATATTGAATTTTATTTGTGGTCTGCATCCTTGTTCAGTTTAAAGTTAACATAAATCTCAGGGCTTTACATAATGAAAGGATGGCAGAAACAGACGGTTGACATGGAAAGAAGTGTAAAAACTAAATGACTGATCTACACGTGGTACAGTGCCTTCTTGAATAGATTTATTTTGACGGGTGGCAATATTGCAACTGCAGGTAAAATCTAAGATACATCTGAACCTAGAAAGTACTCTATTCGATTGTCTTTTGAGACCAGACCCCAATTCACATTTATGTGATAAACTCTAGTATGAATGTGTATGTCAAGCTTCAGTTTGAGAAAACAAATCATACTTTTGAGTATTTGAGGTGATGCATTATGGACTAGCTTTTTTTCTTTGTTGTGCAATTCAGTTTGCGCAGCAGTTTGTGGAGAAGGGTGCACAGGGAGGGCAGCCTTCGGAAAACAGGCCATTTTCTTCTGGGAATGAAACGGACGTAGCCTCTTGTTGAAACAAAATGGTTTCCACCCACCGCAACTGCAAATCTGTGAATGAAATCCAGGTAGAACTGATAAACCTTGCTTTGTGGACACCTACACCCAGACCAACACCTCAAGAACTGAAACAGCTGCCCAGGCCGAAAGTTGCATGGAACTCCAGAACCTGGAAGTCTCTCTACGGCTTGAAGGCAGAGGTGGATGCCATGGGTGCAAGTGTGCCCAGCTGGAGAAACTCTTCAAGAGAGTGGCCATGTTACAAGAGAAGTTTAACAGGCAGCACAGTATCTGGGCATCTGAGCGAGAGATCGATGCATGGCATTGTGAACTGTCACAAGCTGAGTGACAGTCCCTGCCTTCAGGTGTTGCAAAGAGAAGGTAAGCTTGCTTCTGTCCCTGAGGTGACAGACTCAACCAGCTCACAAGACAAAGGAGACTGGACTCCTGTCTCTGCTCAAGGGGAGGAGAAGGAATCTTCCCCTTCCCCATTAAGTGCCCCTTCATAACAGGTACAATGCCCTGGGGCTGGAGAAAGAGAAGAGAGTGAGTAACAGGCAAGACCCAGGAAAGGCCAACTGTGCAAAGTTGGTCTTGCCACCCACCCGCCTTAGAACCAGTGCCACCAGGAAAGTACATAGGGTGTTCAATTGGAGACTCCTTGCTGAGAGGGACTGAAGCATCCACTTGGTGCCCAGACAATATCTCTAGAGAAGTTTGCTGCCTACCGGGAGCTTGCATCTGTGACGTCATGGAGAGGCTGCCAAGCCTGGCAAAGCCTGTGGACTATCACCTGTTTCTACTGTTCCAAGTAGGATCAAATGATATTGCTACGAGGTGACTCAGAAATATCAAAAGAGACTTTATGTCCCTTGGAACAATGTTAAAGGGATTAGAAGCACAGGTGGTTTTCTCCTCTGCCCTCGCAGTCAGAGAACGGAGTTTGAGAAAAAGCAGATGAACAGGTGAATGGCTGACTGCATAGCTGGTGCCATGCCCAAGGTCTCAGCTTCTACAATTTTGGGCATACATTTGATAAACTGGGTCTGTTGACAGCTGACAGGGCTCAACTGACCAAATGTGAGCAAGAGTGTCCTGGGCAATAAGATGGCTGGATTTATAAACAGAGTTTTAAACTAGATTGTTAGTGGGGGAAGCAGATGGTGTTCTGAGCACTTGAGAAGAGCCAGGGGCTGCTGAGGCATGAGGAAGAAACAAGGAAAACCCTGTGAACTGCTTCAAGGGAATTAGGGTGAGTTCCTCTATTCAGAGGAGTGTCTGGTAGCCCAGCTGAAGTGTCTCTATACCAATCCACACAGCATGGGAAACAAACAGGAGGAGCTGGTAGCAGCTGCCCAGACGGAAAACTACAACCTGATTGCTATCGCAGAAACTTGGTGGGATGAATGACATGACTGGAGTGCTGTGACTGATGGCTACAAACTATTCAGAAGGGACAGGCAAGAAAGGAGAGGTGGGGGAGTTGCCCTCTGTGCCAACAATGAGATTAATTGCACAGAGCTTTCTTTGAAGAACAGCAATGCACAGGTGGAGAGTTTACAGGTGAAAACTAGAGATCAAGCCAACGAAGGAAAATTTGTGGTTGATGTCTACTAAGGGCCACCCCATCAAGAAGAAGAGGTTGATGAAGAGTTCTTTCTTCAACTGTAGGAAGCGTCACACTCACAGGCCCTGATCCTGCCAGGGGACTTCAACCAGCCGGACATCTGCTGGAAAAGCAACACAGCAAACTGCAAGCAGTCCAGGAAACTACTGAAGTGTGCTGAGGACAACTTCCTAGCACAGGTGATGGAGACCCTGACCAGAGGAGAGGCAGTCTGAATCTGTTGCTCACTAACACAGAAGAATTTATCAATTTATTGGAGAGGTCAAGACTGGAGGTAGCCTGGGCTGTAGTGATCATGCCCTGGTGGAATTCTCAGGGAGTACAGGATGGATAAAAAGTAGTCAGCATCTTAAACCTCAGAAATGTAAACTTTTGGCTGTTGAGGATACTAGTGCACGGGATCCCTTGGGAAACCGCCCTCAGAGCAAAGGAGTGAATGAGAGCTGGGAGATATTTAAAGACATTTTTCTTAGAGTGCAAGAGCTCTCAATTCTGAAGTGCAAGAAGTTGGGCAGGGGAGACAGGAGGCCAGCTTGGCTAAATCCAGACCTGTCAGCCAATCTAAAACACAAAACCAAAATGCATAGGCAGCGGAGGCAGGGATATGCATCCTGGGGAGATGTGTTGGGTTTGTGTGGCAGGGTTTTGGTAGCAGGGAAGGGACCTCAGGGGTGGCCCCTATGACAAGGTGCTAGAAGCTTCCCCATCTCCAAGCTGGACTCGTCTCTGGCCAAGGCTGAGCCAATCAATGCCTCTATGAATAACATATTTAAGAAGGGGAAAAAAAATTCCTATGCCATATGGGACCTGCAGCAGAGAGAGGAGGAAGATGCAGGCAGCTGTCTGCGCTGGGCCACTGCCCGCTGATGGGCCGGGGGGAGCAGGGACAGCGACCACGGCTTGGACCGTCTTGGAGCATTCCAAAGCTCCCCTCTCCTGGAGCACCTGTTAGGTGGAACCTGTTCAGTCAGGACCACCAGAGTTTGTCAGATCGGTCAGGTCCAGCACAGCTGCAGCGGAGACAGAAGTGGGATGTGAGAGGAACAACTATGCAGACCCCAGGTCAGTGAAGATGGAGGAGGAGGAGGTGTGTCGGAGCTGAGATTCCATTGCAGCCCGTGGCGAGATGGCAGGTGGCCCCCCTACAGCCCACGGAGATTAATGGTGGAGCAGAGATCCACTCACACCCTGTGGAGGACCCCACGCTGGAGCAGGTGGCTGAACCCAAAGAAGGCCGTGACTCCATGGGAATCCCACGCTGGAGCAGTCTGTTCCTGAAGGACTGAACCCTGTGAGAGAAACCTATGCTGGAGCAGTTCATGAAGAACTCTAGCCCATGGGAAAGGATTCCCATCAGAAAAGCTAATGGAGAATTGTCTCCCATAGAAAGAGATGCCACACTGGAGTAGGGGAAGAATGCGAGGAGTCCTCCCCCGAGGAGGAAGGAGCAGCAGAAACAATGGGTGACGAACTGACTGCAACCCCCATTCCCCATCCCCCGGTGCTGCTGTAAGGGAGGAGATAGAGAAATCAAGAGCAAAGCTGAGCCCAGGAAAAAGGAGGGGGTGGGGGAAGGGTTTTTCTTTTAAGATTTGGTTTTGTTTCTCATTATCCTCTCTGATGTGCTTGGTAACAAATTAAATTGATTTTTCCCCAAGTCGAGTCTGTTTTGCCTGTGACCATAATTGGTGAGTGATCCCTCCCTGCACTTGTCTGGACCCATGAGCCTTTTGTTATATTTTCTCGTCCTCCTCTAACTGGCAGGGAGGAGTGAGCAAGTGGCTGTGTGGTGCTTAAGTTGCTGGCTGGGCTGAACCACGACAGGAGATTATAGGAATATAGCCCAAGAGTGAAGAGAGAGGGTCAGGAAAGCCCAGGCACAGGCGGAGCTAAACTTCTCTAGGGACATGAAAAATAACAGGAAGGGTTTCCTCAGGTACACAGGATGACAAAAGAAGATAAAAGAAACTGTACCTCCCTGATGAGTGAAACGGGAGACCTGGCTACAACTGACACGGAGAAAACTGAGGTACGCAACACCTTTTTTGCCTCAGTCTTCACCGGCAAGTGCTCTAGCCACACCACCCAATTCACAGTATCCAAAGGCAGAGACTGGGAGAATGGAGTACTGCCCACCATAGAAGAAGATCAGGTTCAAGATCATCTAAGGAACCTGAAGGTGCACAAGCCCAGGGGACCTGATGAGATGTGTCCATGGGTCCTGAGGGAACTGGCAGATGAAGTTGCTAAGCCGCTATCCATCATATTTGAGAAGTCGTGGCAGACTGGTGAAGTTCCCACCAACTGGAGAAGGGGAACCATAACCCCCATTTTTAAAAAGGGAAAAAACAAAGACCCAGGGAACTACAGGCCAGTCAGTCTCACCTCTGTGCCCAGTAAGATCATGGAGTGGATCCTCCTGGAAACTACACTAAAGCACACGTATTGGTGACTGGTGACAGCCAACGCGGTTCTAGTAATGGCAAATTGTGCCTGACAAATTTGGTAGTGTTCTGTGACAGGGTTACGATGTTGGTGGATAAGGAAAGAGCGACTGACGTCATCTACCTGGACTTGTGCAAAGCATTTGACACTGTCCTTCATGACATTCTTGTCTCTAAACTGGAGAGACATGGATTTGACGGATGGACCGCTCAGTGGATAAGGAATTGGCTGGATGGTGATATTCCAAAAGTTGAGGTCAACAGCTTGACATCCAAGTGGAGACCGGTGACAAATGATGTCCCTCAAGAGTCTATACTGGGACCAGTATTATTTAACATCTTTGTGATGACATGGGCAGTGAGATTGAGTGCACCCTCAGCAAGTTTGCTGATGACAATAAACTGAGTGATATTGTTGATACTCTAGAGTGAAGGGATGCCATCAAGAGGGACCTTGACAGGCTAGAGAGGTGCACCTGTGTTAACCTCATGAACTTCAACAAGGCCAAGTGTAAGGTCCTGCACACGAGTTGAGGCAATCCCAAACATGGATACAGGCTGGTCAATGAGTGGATTGAGAGCAGCCCTGAGTTGAAGGACTTGGGGCTACTGGTGGATGAAAAACTGAATAAGAGCCAGAAATGTGCCCTTGCAGCCCAGAAAGCCAACTGTATCCTGGGCTGCATCCAAAGAAGTGTGGCCAACAGGTCAAGGGAGGGGATTCTGCCCCTCTACTCTGCTCTTGTGAGACTCCATCTGGAGTACTGTGTTCAGCTCTGGGGCTCCAAGCATAAGAAGGACATACAGCTCTTGGAGCAGGTCCAGAGGAGGTCCACAAAGATGATCCAAGGGCTGGAGCACCTATCCTTTGAAGACAGGCTGAGAGAGTTGGGCTTGTTTGGCCCTGAGAAGAGAAGAATCTGAGGAGAAGTTATAGCAGCCTTCC